CCCACGGGAGAGCTGGAAGCCCCACATGGAGGCATAGAGCCCTCCCAGTCCAATGGTGTGGAGTTCCCAGTCCATGCACCATTGGGCCGGGCTGGGCTGGCTCTGTTCCTCCATGTGGGACTTCCAGCACTCCAGTGGGGAAGCCGCCCATGGAGGCAAGCAGCAGCCCACCTGGCCCAATGGCACGCGGCTCCTGCCTGCAGTGCTGCAACCCCATGTGCTGGCCTGGAGCCAGCTAGGCCTAGCCCAAAGATGTGCGCCAACAGGCCAGGCCAACTCCATGCCAGCATGTGCAACCCCTGGGACTCAGCATGTGCAATCCCTGGGCATGCCACTGGGGGCTCTGCCTGCTGCAGCCCTGAGGGCCTGCTGCCATGCACCACAAACGCCACACCCACCCACAAACCCTACACCCAGCCACAACCCCCAGATACTCCCATACCCCCCCCAAATCCCACCTCCCTACACACTTTCACAACCCTCTCCACAAATCCCACACCTGCCCACTCTTTCACAAACTCCCCCACACCCACCCCCAACCATGCAAAGTGCATGCATATATTTCTAAAGAAGGTTCAAATAGATTTAATAGATTTTTAGGGTCAGAAGGGATCTCACAAGCCCGCCCCCCCTGCCCTGGGCAGGAAAGAGCACTATGGTCAGTTGACCCCAGCCAGGTGCTTTGTCTAGTCTCCTCTTAAAGACCTCCAAGGTAGGGGAAAGCACCTACATTGAAAGTAGAACAATGAAGTTCAGATACAAATGTGTATTTAGAACTGCTAGTGCTTTTTTCCCTGTTACTATCTAACAAGAGTAGGAATGAGCAACTTCTACAGGCTATTAGCAAGTTGTTGCAATAAAGATGTTATTTCTGGTTTCTGTAATAAATTTTCATAGTTTTAGGGTCGGAAGGGACCTAATAGATCTTCTAGCCCGCCCCCCCGCCAGGGCGGGAGAACAACAAAAGAACCCTAAACAAAAAACAGGACTCAAATGAGTCCAGCCAGGTGGGTACCCAGCCTCTTCTTAAAGATCCCCAGGGTAGGGGCCAGCACCACCTCCCTTGGAAGTTGGTTCCAGCTCCTAGCCGCCCTAACTGTGAAGTAGTTTTTTCGGATGTCCAATCTGTACCTCCTCTCCATCAACTTGTGCCCATTACTCCTTGTTATGCCAGCGGGGGCTAGGGGAAACAGCGTCTCCCCCAAACCCTTCTGGTTCCCCCTAGTGAGTTTATAGACGGTCCCCAGGTCCCCCCTCAGCCTTCTCTTGTGGAGGCTGAATAGGTTCAGGTCCCGCCGTCTCTCACTGTAGGGTCTGCCCTGTTGTCCCCAGATCATGTGGGTGGCCCTCCTCTGGACCCTCTCCATGTTGTCCACATCCCTCCTGAAATGGGGCGCACAGAACTGGACACAGTACTCCAGCTGTGGCCTGACCAGTGTCGCATAGAGGGGGAGGATCACCTCCCTGGCTCTACTCGAGATGCACCTGTGGATGCACGACAAGGTCCGGTTAGCCCTGCCAACCATGACCTCGCATTGTCGGCCCATGTTCATCTTGGAGTCAATAATGACACCAAGATCCCTTTCCGCCTCCGTGCTCTCAAGTAGGGAGTTCCCCATGCATTTTGGTGCATGGGTGTGCATGATGATCCTTTTTCAGTTCAGCTCATTTAGCAGATGTCCACAGAAATAATCTACTGTGTGTGTGCTTTTCTTTTACACAGAAAGGGTGGTCTGATGGCACCTTGTCAAAAGCACGTCCACTTTATTTTTCAAAGTAAGGTCCCTGCTTTGAAAAATGACTTCAAAATCCTACAGCAAAATTCACCCTTACAAATATTTCATTAATTTCCATTCTTTGCTCTTTCAACATGTTCTGATTTTTCTTCTCTCCCCCCTGCCCCACTTTGTTTTTGAATTCTATTAAGTGCTAGGAAATGATGAGACCCTTTCTTTCTTGAAAACTATGCACAGCAATGAGTTTTCTGTATTTGGATGTCTATGAAAAACCATATCAGTTCTTACCTTCACTGCTTCCCAGCTAGAGTTTACAAGGTATTGTCGAAAGGGACCAAAACCTGAAACCAAAGAAAAATGCTATTAAATTCTTCTTGTATTTCCATTGATGTAAATTGGATTGTATACATGGCCCAGGTGAACTCATGCACTTGTTCTCTTCAACCTGGATCATCATAGTTGTGGATGTGAGTCAACTGGACGAGAATTTTGTTCTCTCCTGTTCTATAGATATAACCTGCTCCGACTTGGGACCTCATTCTGCAATGTTTACTCACATGAACAGTTCTTTGTTATGTGGCTTGTTTAATTAAAGTCAGTGCATGAGTAAAAGTGAGCATGGGTCTTGTGTGAATAAAGTTTGTGCCACTACTTTGCTACTACTTTGCCACTAAAGTTTGAGCCATTACTTTGCCACTACCTGGTGAACTAATGTCGAGTGATTTGGAATTGTTTGCATAAGAAAGGGATTGAGATGATAATTTGACTCCATGTTCTAGGGCTGCAGAATCTTTGTTAAAGAGCTCACTGGGAAAACAAGTCTATTTAAGGAGACATTAAAAGAAAGAAGCAGGTTTTGTTTTACCTGAAATTTTCCATGATTTTTACAAACATTTAAAATGAAACTTTTTTTTAAAGGTTTTTAAACATGGTTTGGTGATGAGGGTGACTTCCCTCTGCCTCCTAACACGTATGCCTTCTCTTTACTTTCTTTTCCATTTGAAATAGGCATGGGAAAAGTTGGGAGGGTGTTGGGTTTTTTGCTTTTTTGCCCTATGGAAATAATGTGCTTTAAGAAAATTAAATAAATAATTTGCACAAATTTTATTTTAATGGAAAAAGGAAAAAATATGACTTTCAATTTAATTTAAAGGTATTATGTGTGTGTGTGGGGGGGGGGGGGCTGGTGGAAAATATCCCACTTGTTTATTCATCACATTCACTGTGTCCTCATCCCAAATCACATTAGATAATGTGCTTGTGGGCTGATTGACAAGATCTTTGATTCTAATCAATGGAACAAGCAAAGCAAATGGGTCTTGTCAAGCTACTTTAAGTCTGATTTTTTATTTTCTAGTGTCCATCTTTCTTTAAAGAAATAACCCCTGGGAACAAAAGGAGTCCTCAGAGTATAATTTAAGAGATGTCGAGGCTTAATGAATTTTGCCTTTTTGCTCCATGAATACAGGTATGGGAAAACATGAAGTGCAAGCTCCAGTATAAATGCTGAAGGGATACTGTGAAATAATTTACGCTAGGTCATTCCCATGGTGCATGATCTCCTCTCTTAAAAGTAGATCTGCAGACAATCATCAACCTCTTTACTGAGGCATATAAGAAAATCGGACTGAGGCTTAACATTCAGAAGACTAAGGTCTTCCTCTAACAAGGAGGAGTCTCCAGTTCTGGCAATTCAGATTCACAGAGCGGTCCCTGCCTCATAGAGAGGTCCCTGCCTGAAGAAGGTTGAGCACTTCCTGTACCTCAGAAGCCATCTCTCGCAGAAGGCTGAAATAGATGAAGAAATCCAACATCACCTCAAATGTGCAAGTACTGCCTTTGGACACCTAAGGAAATGGGTGTTTGAAGATCATGACATCAGTTTTGAAACCAAGCACATGGTTTATCAAGCAGTTGTCATGCCTACCTTATTGTGCAGAGCTGCGACATGGACAACATACAGGATACACTTCAAGGTGCTGGAGAAGTACCATTAATGCAGCCTGTGGAAGATCCTTCATACCCACTGGGAAGACAGATGCACCAATGTTAATGTTCTCTCGCAAGCAAACTCCAAGAGCATTAAGGCAGTGACCATCTGACATCAGTTTTGCTGGGTCAGCCATGTCATCCAGATGTCTGACTTGCAAAGCAAGTTTTATTGTACTGGCTTAGTCAAGGAACACAATCAAAAGGAGGACAGAGAAAACACTTCAAGGATGTCCACAAGACCAACTTGAAAAAATGCAACAGTGACATCAACTTGTGGGTGACTGTTACCCAAGACCTCCCTAAACGGGCGAAGAGCCTGCTGCAAGGATTTCAGTCCTTTGAAACTTCACAATGACACCAGGAGATAGAAAGGTGGGAGTGGCGGAGGCAGCATGTCACCAACAAAGCAAAGGATCTAGACCCACGCACCCTGCATGGAAACACGCTCCAGCTGTAATAGAACCTGTTGATCCCAGAGTGGCCTTGTCAGCCATCTTTGGGCCCATAAATTAGGCAACCATGGAAGACTATCATCCTTGACTGTGAAGGAATGCTACTGATTATGAATATATTCATTCATTTAGCAATAGATTTTTCTGTAAATATTCAATATATTTAAACCATGCTAAGCACTGCATCCTAATAATAATTCATGGCAAGAGTTTAGCAGCTTACCTAATGTGCAGGGCTGGGGGGGGCACAATAAAGCATTCCTCTGCTCCACGTAGACAATATAGCACCTTCCATGCTTGTTCCACTCCATTTACAGAGAAGAAATATGGTGATACCTAATCTACTACAAAGTCAGACAGAGAGAAAGTATTTATAGGAAAATGAAAGTTCTGAATTGGCTCGTAATGCAACATGTAAACTACAGACATGGTCGTAAGGAACCACTGCCTAGGACAAAATTGTTTTATGAAAAGAAATTAATTCACTTTAAGATGGCCTCACTGGATTGAAATATTTAAGCCAACCTGGAGGCCAAATTGGCTGAATATTATTAGGTACTTTAAAATAGAGCTGGGAGCAATGCCAGTGTGTTTACATTCTGAGCAGGTGACAATGTTACTCAGGCATGCTAGGCTTATTCTTTGCAACACCTTGAAGGTACACCTGTGCGTCTAATAGACACATTGTTCTGCAGCTGTTTGAACAAGGGGATGTCTAGGGGACAGCTAATGAGATATAAGGAGTTGTTCCCATCATGGGTGAACATAGAAAGTACCCGTCAAAGAGAGAAACAGATGGACAGTTTTTTTCTGAAGGTAAGAAGCTTCTCTTACTCTCTTACTTTCCCATTCACTCCAATTGCAGTGAGGTCTGGAGAAAGCTAAAGCAGCCTGGCCCATTTTGGAGCTCCTTTAAAACAAACAAGTTGTATTGAATTGAAAACAGCAACATAACAGATTTCTTTGATGTAGCTTCAACCTCATCCTTACGTCCTTGGATGACCTGCAGTGGAAAATTATCCAGCAACTCGCATGTCAAGATATATCTAGTGATTGCCTTTTAGATGAGCCTGTGGCAACAAGAGCAACGAGTAGTGACATTCCTTAAGAGTTGTAACTTTTTAAAGCTCAGAAAGCCTTCTAGCTGGTGGGCTTGCACTTGTGATTCAGCATTACCTATATCCAATGATAGAACCTTAGAATTTGGTCCCCGGCCTACATGTTCAGGCATGCTTCCTTGGCATATTTAATTTTAATGGTCTTGTTTAATTTTGACGAGGCTCTAGAGGTACAGCCACCTCTATGATTTTCCCCTTTGCCATGAAACGGAGACCCTGAAATTCGCCATGTATTGCTCTAATTCTGGACTCTTATGTGACATCCTGATGCAACCTGGATTTCATGCTTTAGAACTGCTCCTTTTGGGTAAGCTTTATCTGACAGTCCTTGGCACTGCCTAGAGCAACAAGGATTGGATTGGGGTGGGGGTACACATCAAGCAAGATTAAAAAGAGAGCAAGAAAACAATAAACTAAACTGAATGGCTGTAAAGGGAGCAAGCTAGAGTCTGTTTTCTCTGACATACATATAATTTTCTTAGGAAGGCACAACAGCAAGTTATTTTCCATTTGGAATTGTTAGTATGACCAGTTGCTACTTTTTTCCCTCCAGGGAACTGTTTATGACAAAGATCAGGCATGTGTGCATTCCACGTCTGGCTAAAAGAGGAAGCGAATTTAGAAAAAAAAAATCTTACCAGTCACAACCACAGTGTTGGAATTTGAATCCATGAAACTTAGCTCCAGAATGTGAAATCTGGTCGTCTTTCAGTTCCAAACAACAGTATCATAATTCATGCATCTGTGGTAATCTGCTTCATTTGGGACACTCCCTTCCTCCCCCTCCCTCCAGTCTCTTCTGAAAAATCCAGGTTTCTATTGGACAGTGAAAAAGACTTCATCAGATAGAAACAAGTGTGGATTCACATGACAGAGATGACTTGGGGTTCATGTAATGCTTTCAAAGTGTAAAGAGAGATGTGTGATCAGTACTGCCTGAAGTTTCTGGTTTCATTTTTCTTTTTTTTTTCTTTTACAAGATGCACAATAATATTTAGTGATTAGAAAACACAGGAGAGTTTGAAAGAGACATTTTACAAAAATGTTTGTCAATGTTTGGGATCAGAAAAATACTTATGTACGAAGTGAACAGAAAACTAATTGGCCTAACTTGTGTCTGTATAGTTGTTTCAAGCTATTTATAGCACAGTTGTAATCCATTGGGTATTTCTCCGCTTAATTAAGCAAACTAACTACAAGTACATAACCCTCTATTTCTACCACACTTGCTTTCTTTTTTTCTCACTGCCCTACATTCATTGTAAAAATGTTTGTGCAGTTATAGATGTCAGATACTCCTCAACACAGCATCAAAGCAATTATCTGTCTATCTAACCTACCTTGGGTTCTATAAGGCAGGCAAGGTTCTTTGGGTACATGTGATATCTTTTATTAGACCAACCAGGCAGTTGGAAAATACTTCTTAGTAAGCTTTCAGGCGCAATGACCCTTCTTAAGGCATTGGGAGTTTCTGCTGTTCTGAGACTCCAAGGAATGAAAGAAGCTAAAAGCGTGACAGGATGTCAGTGAGACTGTGAATAGGTGGAAATGTGGAAAACAAAAGGTACAGCAGGGAAGGGAGGGGAAAAATGAGGGGGGGAAAAGAACCAAAGGTGAGTAAGGGAGACTCCACAATAGTAGATTTTCAAGGTAGAAAAGAGGCCGTCTGTGAAAAAGTAAGTAGCTGGAGATTAGGAAGGCTAAAAAGGAGTGGGGGGGTGGGAGGGGTGGAAGTGTAAAAGGTCAGGTCTGGCAGGTATGTGGTGAATCGGATGTCAGGCAGGTTGTAATGTCTCATAAATCCAATGTCTATATTGAGTGCATGGTTTTTTGTATCCAGTAGCTTGATGAAGTGAAGTTCATAGGCTTGTCTGTGAAAGGTGTTTTGTAAGTTCCCTTTGAGGATTAGAACTGAGAGACTGGAGGGAGAGAGAGAGGGAGAGGTTTTCTTGTGAGAAATGTGCCCCCACAGGTAACTGGGTATTCTTGTCTTTGATAGATTTTTTGGTCTGTGTTCATTCTGGTGCGCAGTTGTTGTTTGGTTTCTCCAACATATTTTCCATCAGGGCATTTGGTGCACTGGATGAGATATATACCACTTCTGGAGATGCAGCTGTAAGATCCAGGAATGGTGGTGGATCTGTTGTGGGGTGTAGTTATTGTGGGGGCAGTGGAAATGTGTTGGCAGATTTTACATTTCTTGTCCTGGCATGGTCTGGATCCATTGGCCGTGGTTTGGGTCATAGGGAGTTTGCTTCTAGTGATAATGTTAGTGAGGTTTGTTGCTTGTTTAAAAGCTAGGATGGGTGATTCTGGGAAGATCTCTTTAAGAACTGGGTCATCTTCTAGTATGGGTTACAATAATTTGAGGATTTTCTGTATAGGGCCCAGGGAAGGATGATCTGTCATAACTAATGGTGTGTGATTTGTGGAGATTTTCTTTTTGTACCACAGCAAATCTTTGTGTGGTATCCGGGTAGCTCTTTCAAAAGTGTGGTCTCTCTCTCCAGAGGCGTCTCCTTGTTGGGTGAAGGCCCTTCTGAGATTTGTGAGGTGGCAATCCAGGGTGTTCTCCTCTGTGCAAATTCGGTGGTATTGGAGGGCTTGGATGTATACTACAGTTTTCTTGGTGTGTTTAGGGCAATTGCTGGTTCTGTGCAGATATGTATGTTGGTTCATAGGTTTATTGTATATGGTGGTTTGTATTTTATCATTTTGAATATTGATCATGGTGTCCAAAAGTGTTAGGTTTTATAAGATGTTCATCCCCATTGTGTCTGATTTACCTTATACAGCTTAAATTAAACACAAGGTAAGCAAGTATTATATATGTGCTAAAGCAAAACATTCACTTAGGGTTAGTCTTCTATGTAGCATATTCTACAAGGTGACCTAGAAACTGTGACAGGGTCAGAAGAATGCCATAGGTTGGGTTAAATCTCATGAAAACTGGTTGAGTTTAACAGCCTCCCTTCATTCAAGTTAAGTATAAGAAACAAAGTAAAACACAGGCCAATCTTGTCAAGCAAAACAAAAGCAGATGCAAATCCCCTCAGGAATTAGAACGACGTGAGCAGAAGACCTTGTTGGGTCTTGTTTCAGGTTTGTGTGTGAGAGACAGCACAAGTATGTACACTTACAACCTTAGGAGAACTGGTAGCTGACCCTAAGCAAAATCCTAGAGAAATGTATGTTGCTATGAATGCTAGGTTGAAAAAGGCCTGCAACAATAAACAACGATGCCATCTCTTATCATTTTGAATCCTGTGTTCAGAAAAATGGAACGTGTATGTTTTTAAAGTAAATAAACAGGATTGCATCTCGAATACCTAGCTCCACCATCTTTCAGCTATCTATATGGTTTATTGGGTTTTTTGCTAATCCGTTTATACATGTAACCAGTTTGAAAAACTTTTCCCTGTAAAACCCTGATTAAAAGCATGGTGTACAAAAGACCAATCAGCTGTGTCAGTATAATGTTTATCATTTTTTTGTGTTTAATTTATCTAAATTTGATAAAAACTTATTAATAAGACTTCTCTCTACAGTGTGGCATAATCTAAGAAACAAAGCATAAGTACTGGCAAGCAGGAAGAGATGAGGTGCAATTCTGGCTGTTTTGATTTATACTAAATCACATGACTGCTCAGCATTTGGGATAACATGTACTTTGTTAGGTGTAGATGTTAAAATTAATTAATGTTTTTAAAGTGCTCTGAAGCTGTGAAATGCTTCATGTTAGAAGTTTTAGTGTAATGAAACTGCAAATAGCATCACATTTGCATAGGGCCAAATGAAACAGACCTGATATTCTCATGTAGAAAGCAGTGTAGATATGAACCTTATAGACTAATTGAATCAGAGATGCATAACCTTTTGTGAGACAGCATAGTACATCTTGCCTTCTGCCTGACCTCAGACTAACAGCTAAGCTACCTCTCTGATATTCTCATGTTATGCATGCTATTTTTCATAGCTTTCACATTATTGGTAATGGAACTTCTCAATAAACAAGGGAGAGAGGAGCTCTCTATATGTATTTTCACAGGTCAGCGATCTTTCCCCGAAATGATTCATGGACATTAGCTATAAACACAGTGATTCCTAAGCTCAGAACTCTGTTTGCCAGTTGAAGTAGCGGCAGTGTCTTTTCCCTAATATGATTAGAGACTTTTGGTTTGTAAATGAATAAATAGACACTTATTTTGCATATTTATGTCTGCAAAAAAGTGAATTGCTTCAATAAACTGATAGTCCTATAATAGCTTATTGAAATGCACTTTTACAGATTCCAGTCTGTTCATTTCATTTAGCATTATGTGCAATTATGTAAGCTTCTATGAGAACTGAATGTATTGTATTAGTAAATGTACTTAGATATTGTAGCAGACAATAAACAGAGGATTTTGTGATTTCATAAATGAGTAGGAAAGCGTTTTCCAGTTAGGCTTTTTTGGGCAGATAATTATTTTTTTTTGTGCAATGGGAACATTTTCCTCTGTGGATCTTCAGCTGAAATTTGAGGACACTTCATAAGGTTTCATGCAAGTATCACTGTAGTCCTAACAAAAACAGTGGCATATATGCAACAATACTTACCCAGGCCATGGGATACAGGATGTCAATGGAAATTCAGGTTATATTGCAGAATTAACTACACACAGGACGTTTGAAAACCAATCACAAGTGTAGCTGACTTGGCTTTCACTGACTTTCTCCTCACATATACCATATTTTCTTGCATAGAGCATGTCCTGTGTATAATGAAGACCTTGTGTTTGAAAGGGAGCATGAAGGAGAAATATTTTCCTTGAAGTAACTGCTTGCAGCTACATGTGAAGTTAGTGCTCCTGAACAAACTCCGACGCACTGGAGTTTATTGTTCCCAAGTACGGTGTTTATGTGTGCACCCAGGACCACAGCATGTTGCGCTGGGGCAGTGCAGGGGGCCCTCATGCTATAGCACCTTCATGCCCCAGCCAGCCCCGGTCACTGTCTACACGTGTATTATAGCACACTAAAAAACTCTGCTGTAGGACAGTACTCGTGCCTGGCAGTATTATTCTACAGTGGTGTTAATTAACTGTGGCCTTACCATGCTGCACATGTAGACAGTCACAGATTCACAGATATTTAGGGCTGGAAGGGACCTCGTAAGAACATTGGTTCCAGCCCCCCTGCTCTGGGCAGGAAAAACTGCTGGGGTCAAATAACCCCAGCAAGGTGCGCGTCCAGTCTCCTTTTGAAGATCTCTGGGGTAGGTGTCTGCACCACCCACACTGGGAGTCTATTCCAGAGTCTGGTCACACGAACTGTGAAGAAGTTTTTCCTTATATCCGGTCTGAAACCTTCTTCTAGGAGTTTATGACCATTGCTCCTGGTTTTTCCCTGCAGTGCTTTGGTGAATAGTTGTTTGCCTAGCTCCCCTTATATATTTGTAAGCTGCCACCAAATCATCCCTGGAGTCCTCTCTTTTCTAGGCTGAACAGTTCCGTATCTGTCAGCCTTTGCTCGTATGGCTTGCTCTTCACACAAGTAGCTCTTCTCTGGAGTCTCTCAAGCTTCTCCATATCCTTCTGGAAGTGCAGCGCCCAGAACTAGATGCAGTACTCCAGCTGCAGCCTCACCAATGCTGAGTAGAGCAGGCGAATAACTTCCTTATTTTTGCTTTAGATGCATCAGTTGATGCATGCCAGCATATCATTTGCTCTGCTAACTGTAGCATCACATCGGTGGCTTAAATTCATTTTATGGTCAATTATGACCCCCAGGTCCCTTTTGGACATGGTGCTAGCTAGCATAGCACCACTAAGCCTGTAAGTCTGTTGTGGCTTTTTCCTCCCCAGATGGAGCACTTTACACTTCTCGGTGCTGAACAGCATCTGGTTCTGGTCCTCCCATTTAACTAATCTGTCTAGGTTCGCCGGGAATGGCAGCCTACCCTGATGTGTGGCCTCACTTCCCCAGA